GTGTGTATGACTCGATATTACCTTAATTCACAAGCTATTTGTAAGCAATGATGGATAGTGGCTTGCAGTGGAATACAGGACTCACGTTTCATCCTACTATCAGGATAACGCGATGGCGTTTGAGGCGAGTGGTACTGAACTCGAGTCTCAGAGTGAACATCAACTCATGCAGGTACATCCTGATGACGAGTCCCGAATAGGACGAAACGCGCGTCCTGGATTCCACTGCTAGCCACTGTCCATCACTGCTTACAAAGTAAGTATAAGTCGAAAATATTACTTAATAGTTCCCCTTATAAAAAGTGTTCAAGGAATTAACCATTGTTCAATGTATTCATGGTTTTATCTATTTATTTATATAAACAAATCTCAAGTGAAAGATCATGAGTGCTCATTGCTGAAGAATGGTATTCTAACTGAGATCGACTCATGATTTCAACGATGAAAATATATAATGGTAAAAGTGGTCATCATTATGAATATGCATCATACGATAAGAAATTGGGACTTTGAAAGGATAGGGTAAGAAAGATAGGTATAATCAAAAACTATCCATATTAGGTGGAAATAGGACTACCGCGCAATTTCGTGGATTAGTTGATGTTAGACACTAACACTGGTGGATGCCAGCCAACTCAATGGTCTCGATGTTAAGCGTTCGCATGCGAGATCAAAGGTCTTGGGTTCGAAAACCATGTATGGGATCCTGGATGCCCACTGCTGAGTCGTCTCACGCTAGAACGGAACGGTCGTTCAGTGCTTCCAAGTTTTCAATAGTGGTCTAACATCCATCGATTCATGATCTCAATCAAAAAAAAAAGAAAATAAGTGAATGAATGTATAGAAAAATGATGTAAGAATTTGTTTAGTTCAGAAAAATACAACTAGAATGGTTTTTTTCATTTAAATAAGTTCCTCTCACTTATATAAAGAAAGGAAAAGAAAATCATTGAAGAATCATTACTAGCTTCTATTCTGAGCGAATTTTAGTAACGTCTCAAGACAGTGAGTTGCACTATCTCTAGGACGTCAACTAGAGAATTGTGAAGGACTGAAAGATTTCAATCATGCATAACTTTATCTCATAACCCAGCATTGTATGGTAAACCGGCTACTGCTCTTTTTTAACTAGTCCCCAGCCTCAGCAAATAATACACAAGGTGGAATTCGCTGTAATAATATTCGTAGTATATATGCAAGCCACCGAACTCGGTGTTTCAAGATGATGGCATCAGTTGAATTATCATCACTGTACGTTACTGAATCCTCGTATTAGTAACAGTGTATTGCTACTAGATATCAGCAATCCTTCTAGAAATAGCCGTGATTGAAGTTCGTAATGATAGTGTGGATCTGTTGCCTGGCGAAAAACGTTTCGCGGATGCGGATGATAATGTGCAATGATACTCAAGCCATCCAATCTATAATTAATCATTTGAAAATCAGTGTCCATAGGTACAGGATGAACTGCACACTTTTTTAAATCCAAAGTACTTTAGTAAGACTTGTTGGAGACTGTGTTTTCACATACCGGTTAATAATTACATCAACAAAATGAATAAAGTAATACCCAATAGTTTGAGTTCATTTACTACATACATTTGATGGATGAATATTTTCCTTGTACTCACATTTTCAATTATATCTTGTTTACCTTTGTGGTATATTCGTAGTTCCTTAAGACTTTGAAGGTTTCCACTGGAACCAAATTGGTGAATAGGAATTTATATATTCAGCTATAATCCACACGCTTCATGATTACTCTTGAATTGGCCCCTGGATAAGTTGAAGGCTGAGCTGTTTGCTCACTATTATTTTATTTATTTATGTCAACATATAGATATTGGTACAACGAGGCACCAAATACATATGCACCACACAAAACTCATTCGATATGTGTGAGGGCTGTGATACTACCCGGGTGCCCAAACCGAAGAAGGTGGCTTTCTTAGGGGGCCACACCCGGAGTCTTCGACCTAAAGATCTGATTCACAAGACAGTGGAGCAACGTAAAAAGATTCAGTCCCATTGTAGACGATTATCAATAATTGGTTCATACTCCATTTTTTCCTTCAAGATCCTGGAACCCATGTATACGATTGGTTTGGAATCAGGGTTTTCCAACTCCCCTAGATAGGCTCTCTATGTCCACCAACCTGATTAAGTATCCGGATATTCGCTCTTCGTCCTGTCAACTTCGTAAACAACACCCTCACTACGAGAAGGCAATGAGTAAGACTTCCCTGACAGAGGCTATATACGCGTGGCCATGTGAGAGCATTTCGAGAGACAATGTATGAAGTTGTCACCTTGATGATCATCAGAATCTCTATGTTGTCAGTTCATCTTTGTAGCATTAAAGTTAATCGATTCAAATTTTTTTCGTATTTAGTTCATCGATTCTACCATTAAATTCAAGTTCATACACATACACAGACTGTTATTATGTATGAGTATACTTATTTATTAGTGTAGGCAGTTTATTTACATGACAGCATAAATGAATTACTTATACATAAGTGGTTCATTTATCTCAATAACTGATAAATTTTCAAGTGTATTGATTTAAAGTACTCTTTAGTAGTGTCCTCAAATGTCCTGATACGGCCGAGGGCGGAGAGAGTCAGCTCTCCTTCTCCAAATTCTCTCACATGGACACGTGCATACAAGTATTTCTAGAGAAGTCCGACTCACTGCCTTCTCGTGGCATTACTGTTGTTTACGAAATTGAGAGAGAATGCTCGGCGCTTTAACCGAGTTGGTGAACACGGAGAGTTCACCTTGGGGGAGTTGGGAAACACTGACTCCAAACCAGTTGTGCACATGTGCTCCAGTATCGTGAAGGAACGACTGGTGTATGAACAAACTATTGGTGACCGACTACAATTGCTCCACTGTCTTGTGAATCAGACCTTTAGGTCAAAGGCTTAGGGTGTGGCGCCCTAAAAAACCACCAGCTACAGTTTGGACAACCGGACAGTATCCCAGCCCTCACACAAATCGAATAATTTATGTGGAGCATATATAGTTGGTGCCTCGTTGTACCAATGTTTATGTGTTTAAATAAATAAATAATAAATTGACTAAACTAGTAAAATACTTCGAGCAAAAGTCATAGTGAATTTTTAAGTGTAAACGAAACGCAATCTTCTCTAACATCTTTGACAGTTAAATATTGTTGAGATGGCTTCGACAAACATCACGGAGCCTTCAGAGATCCTAGAGGAACCGAAGAGTTTACACCCAATCAGAACCGGATACAATTTTCTAGAATATCAACGTGACATGCTATGATTGGAAGGTAGCCTAACTTCTTTCCTTGCGGATTGACTGAATTAGAATGATGTTATAGCTAAAGCTATTATCTATAAGTACTCATGATTTTCTGTATATTTTTGATTCTTACTCAACAATAACTTCTGACTTCTTCTGTCTTCTGATTTTGTGACTGTAGAGTTCTATGCATTTGACTGCCGTTAGTTGTATATCATATTCTACGTTAATCAAGTAGCGAACGTTACATATATGATCTACAGGGATTGATAACACGTTTAATTTGCTAGCTAGTCACTCAAATACAATATAGAACTTAGCACATGTGTACAGTGGTTTAATTTACTATATCCTATTAGCGAATCCCAGAGTAGTATAATTAGTAACAGCACTAATGGTAATAGAAGATATTAAGCGTCGAAGATGCGATTCATAAAAGTATAAACTAGTGAAAAAATAAAAGATTTATGAAGAATTTAGAAAATTAGGATCTAGATGAAGACAAATCGTGAATACACCTGCCCTATCGCAAACAATTGTGAACAATAAAACTCCTACCACTGGTTACGATAACCACGCAGACCCTGACTGTTTGGTGTGCACGTACCTACATGGCTCAGTTCAATAATCAGTGTCTTCATGGACTGATCCCACTTCTTGGTTTGCCTCACCCTAGCTTTTTTCCTACCTACTCTTATGTCAGTTGATTTTTGACCACAAGTGCTTTCGAAGTAGTTTAAGCATACTGAATAATCACTAGGTTATTAGTTGTAATGTTAGATTCAATGTTTTAAATATAGATCGCTTATATAACTAAGAAGATTTACATCAAAGTTGAAATACTTTCAAAGATTTCAACCCACTAAATCAATACTACAACCATGAAACAATACCATCGAAATAATCAGATGAGTGTTATTTATTTATTTATTTTAACACATAGATATTGGTACAAGAAGGCACCAAATACATGTGCGTCACACAAAACTCATTCGATATGTGTGAGGGCTGTGATACTGCTCGGCTGCCCAAACCGAAGCAGGTGGTTGTCTTAGAGGGCCACTCTCCGAGACTTCGACCTAAGGGTCTAATCCACAAGGCAGTGGAGCAACGTAAAGAGATTCAGTCCCATTGCAGCCAGTGAACAACAATTGGTTCCCAAGCCGTTTGTTCCATCAACATACTGGAGCCCCTGTGCACCATTGGTTTGGAATGAGAGTTTTCCAACTTCCCCAGGTGAACCCTCCGTGTTCACCAACCCGGTTAAAGAGCCGGACATTCGTTTTTCGTCCGCCCATTTTTGTAAACAACACCCCCTCAACGAGAAAGCAATACGTAGGACTTCCCTGACAGAGGCTATATACGCGTGGCCATGTGAGAGCATTTGGTGAGGGAGAGCGGACTCTTCTCACTCTCGACCGTACCAGGGCATTTGGAGGTAATCAGATGAGTGTCTTTTAGTCGGATAACATTAGGTTCAGAGTAACATATATTCAAGTTGATAGAACTATTGATCTAAATTAAATCCTAGCCGGTTAGCTTTATAGACTAGGTAATACGACACTGTCGATTGTCATCCAGTTAGTCGGAATACAATTAATTTACTTATACTGTCTATAAATGAAGGGTTGAATACTGTGGTCTCACTAACCTTTAAGTTCAAATAAACAATTTGTTCATATTTTATATACTAAAATAACACTTTTCACAATAATTAATCATTTCAGATGGAAAGGGAGTTTGTACAAATTGGTATGGGTCGACTTATTAATCTACATCTCAGCTTATTATGTTTTAAATCTATCTTATCGGTTTGCAATGAATGACAAGCAAAAAGTGTAAGTATCATTATTATTATTATTTTATCAATTCATAATTATAATGAAAATCATCAAAGGAACTAGAGTTTAAACATTCGAGTACGAGACTGTTAAGTCCTGAGTTCGAATCACGCGAGGTGGGATCGTGGATGCGCACTGCTTCCAGGTTTTCCATGGTGATTTAGCTTCAATTAACTCATGATATCGACCATTGTAAGTAGTATTGTTAAAACATGAAAAAAGAATTTAGTTTTTTAGAAAAGAGGTTAATCGATCGATTATTGTACTTTAGATTTTGAAATCATGGAAAACATTTACAGTTCAGGTGAATGTTTTAGGTAGTGATATGTTCTCTGAACTAGATGATTTAATTGTACATCCCATGTTGTCATTATGGACAAACTTTTTCCAGCGTCTTCTTCGTTTAGAACGGAGATTTTTAGTGATCATTCACGACCCCGCAGAAGGACTCGAACCCAGGGCATTTGGTTTTATGTGCGAACACTAAGCCAGGATTCAGTGGTGTACAAGTTTAACTCTTAAATTTTCCAAAATCTCACATTGATAATTATCATGTGCTAGCCAGTGACTAGCTTAAAGAGAAAATTTCGTGAGTTCTAATGAGTAGCTGTGACCAGTAAAGCATAAACATATCTTATGGGAGATAGTTATTCACCGGAAGCAACGAAAAATGGTTGCACATTACTGTGAATTAGTTGAATTTAGAATCGCATCTCATTTAGACCACACACCCTCAATGGTTCGATCTCTGCATACAGTGTCGTGTTAGCGCTTCGTTTGTACTTACATTCACATTGTTTATCTCTGTTGGTCGATCTTTGACCCTGCCATTTATTAACCTCTTACCTATGGGTCCACGGATTGAGCCTAAGTCTGTGTACCTGTTGGTAACTAAATGATTCAGGTGACATGTTCCTAAACATTATCTGACATTCTTATAGTATCTCTTATACAGAATGTTGACATTCCTTCAGTCGAATTCATGTCCAAGATAAGCTGTGTACACTGTTACTACTGATAATCTATTATTTCACTGTACTGTTAATCCATCCATATGCGAAGTGCGGGAGTCGATTTTATTAAAAGCAATATCATTAAAATTTAGTTCAGTTAATTCCCTAGATGAGACAATAAAACATCGGGTACTTTTAAAAAATACTGTAATACACCGATCTCACAGACAGCAATTTAGAGTAAGTTCTCCAACTTTTGTCAACCTGTTGTATACAATGACAATCATCCAATGTTGTTTATGACAAGTCACTCGTAATGTTAATGGAGTTATTAACTAACAAATCATTTTGGAACAAATTTATATTAGATTGAGTTAAAATAGCCCAAAGAAAGTAACCAGCTGAATCATGCCAACCAAGTTGTAGAGTGACCATCAATCTAGGTGACTCGACATTATATGCACTATATTAAAATGTGATGGTGGTTGGAGGTAGTCAACGGGAAACCCTGGACCTAGGTTTCAGTTTCGCACAAAATTATGTCTACAGATTAGGTTGTATCGATTGTGATGAATTATACATTGAACAGAAAATTGGACTAAAAGTGGTCTTAATGACCTGAGAGAGTGAATTCAGTACCAAAACGATAACTGTCTGGTGTCGGTCACACACAACCTTCTTGTGAGTAATTTTCATGTTAGCTCCGTACTTGTTGAGACCTTACTGCTGGAGACGGATTTCTGTGGGATAAGGCGAGGTTTGCATTTTTATGGTCGATCTTTTCTAAACCCACTCCTCCTTGTGAGAAGGCGGCATCGCTGTCATGTTGGTTGTCTGAAGGAAACACCTTACTGCCGTCACACCTCTGTACAGTCAGCAATACGACTTCACCTTCGGACCTTGGGTTTGCTGCTTATATTTTATGTTCATTTGAAAAGAAGCATCTCTTATTTGTCTTATTAACTGACCGTATTTTGAACATATTACAATACAATTTAAAATTAAATTAGATCAAGGAATCTATTTCAGTTTTACAGCAATATTTTTTTATCTTTTTGATGAACAAATCTTTGAGACACTTGACGAGACTACAATTTATGGACGAACCAATCAGATTTAAGATAGCAGATCTTGAATTTCGGTATGAAATCCATTTACTCATTTGGTTGAATATCATTTTGTCAGTTCGTGATGAGAACTATAACTGATTCTTAACCACAGCATCAAACTGTAGATCCTGATCCTAATTCCTCACACTCATATATAATGTTCAAATAATCTGTTATGTCCTTTGGTTTGTCTACCCACTTTTGGTGCTGAGGATTAAGACCTTGGCGCGATAGGCTGACTGACCTAACCTTGAGGCCAGTACGCGTGAGTTCGAATTAGAGTAGAGAGAAGAAAACTATTCTATCATCTGATTGACTGACAAGCACGCAAATGAGAGAAGACAAGACAACTGGAACACTACTCGATCTATTTCTGACATCCTGATTTTCTCTGATTCCTCTTCTGATTTCAGATTACTGTAAAAAGGTACATGAATAAATAGGTGAATAACCCGACCACAACGTACAATAATTAGAAAAAATACAATTATGTCTAAAGCTGGGAATTAGAGGAGAAAATAGGGTGCAAAATATGATGCTTAAATTACAATAGCTTCGGAACAGAAAAGGGCTATGGCAATGAATCATACATCGAACGAAAGCTTATGTTCTGTAGAATAGATTAGGGACAAAATTAAATGTCAGTATTTTACAAGCTTTGAATTAACTGAAGTAACGTCTTGCAAAAATAACTTTCGTAGTTTATCAGATCTTCTTGTTTCCCTGTTCACAATATAACCCTAACAAGTAGATGAACATCGTCAAGGTCACTTTTCAATCACTCGAAACTCATCCATAAATGATAGTCTTATCCATAGTTAACATGTTATCACATACTTAACAATTAAATCATCTTTCTTATTTATTATTAATCTATTTTTATAGAATTTTTGAAGAAATTGTTGAATTCTGTGTTCGAACTAAAGGTGATATACCTATATCATTTTTATTGGGATTTTTTGTATCTGGTATAATATCACGTTGGTATCAAATGTATTTATATATACCATGGATGAATCAAATTGCACTTCAAATTGCTGTAAGTTCATTCTATATTAATACTTACTTAACTTACGCCTGTTACTCCTCGTGAAGGAGCATAGGCCGCTCACCAGCATTCTCCATCCAACCCTGTCCTGGACAATCCTTCCCAGCTCCTTCCAGTTGCTATTCATCCTTTTCATATCTGCTTCTATTATCCGACGTAATGTGTTCTTTGGCCTTCCTCTTTTCCGCTTCCCTTTAGGAGTTCAAGTTAGGGCTTGCCTCGTGATGCAGTTTGATGATTTGCGTAATGTATGTCCTATCCATTTCCATCGTCTTTTCCTAATTTCTTCTTCAGCTGGAAGTTGGTTTGTTCTCTTCCACAAAAGGCTATTGCTGATGGTATCCGGCCAATGGATGTTGAGTATCTTGCGTAGACAGCTATTTATAAATACTTATACTTTCTTGATTGTGGTTGTTGTAGTTCTCCAAGTTTCAGCTCCATACAGTAGAACTGCCTTGACGTTCGTATTGAAGATTCTATATTAATAATTTAATGATAAATAAATAATTTCCATGGTGATATAAAGAATCAATAATGAGAAGGTCAATCGATAATAAACAGAAGTCAACTAAACGATAAGAAAGGATTCAGTTTCTTAAGGATTAGAATTATAGACATATAAATGAGTATTTTTGCATTTTATTTGGTAGCTTAATACACTTTCTTGTTCACTCTTGCCCAAATGGCGTCTTAGGTAGGAGAGAGGGTTAGCATGTAGCACAATGTGTATCAGTATCGGATTTCGGACACTGTACGTCACAACACATGCAGAAAATAACATCAAGATACTTTGTTTATAAAGACTTTACATATGTTGACAGTTGACAACATGACAGTTCGTTACAAGTTTAATACAAAATAGGTGTTATCAGTATAGAGGTTGTGGAGATTACTAGCTTTTTTGATTGAGATCATCAACCGATTAATGTGAGACCACCGTTGGAAACCTAGAAGCACTGGACGGCCGTTTCGTTCTATTGTGCGACTTCTCATCAGTGCGCGTCCACGATCCCGCTCGCTCGGTTCATGATCTCAATAAAAAACCTTGATAATCTCCACAACTCCTATACTGATAATTAACATGTGCTCATTGGCGACTAGCTTCATGAGGGAATTCTCGGAGCTCTAGTGACTAGCCATGACCAGTGGAGCTAGTCCGTGTCGGATAGAGACAGGTATCTACCTCAGTATAGTGGAAGTTGGTCGCGTAATTTCGTGGATTGGTTGATGCTAGACACTAACACCATTGAATACCGGCCAGCTCAGTGGTCGACAGGTTAAGCGTTCACAAGCGAGACTGAACGTCCTGGGTTCGAATCCCGCGAGTGAGATCATGGATGCTCAGTGCAACAGAGGAGTCTCACAATAAGACAAAACGGCCGTCCGGTACTTCCAGTTTTCCAGCGGTGGTCCAAAACCAATCGGTTTATGATCTCAATCAAAAAAAATCTGATTGCCAAAAAATATTCATACCATTTTTTACCTGATGCACTTATTTTATGTTTGTAATCGTTCGATACTCTATTCAGGGTCATTTGAATTGTCCACACTTTTTAAATCAATTATAACCAACAGTAGCTATAAGACTTAATGAATAAAAGAGACGAATTGGAGGTAGAAACTTCTATGTGTTGAAATAATCTAGTTTTATTGAGATATTTTGATAGGACACTAGCCAACTTCTTTCATAAAACTTATTCATAACAATTGTAATCAACTATTCTATTGTATTCATGATGAACCTAACTGTTTCTGAGATACATTTGGATTGTGAACTGAACGGTAACATTAAAATTAGAATAATTCAAGATAATCTCGCCGGGAGGAATCGTGGATGCGCACTGATGTAAAATCGCACAATAGAACGAAACGATCGTTTAGTGCTTCCAGGTTTTCCATGGTGGTCTAGCTTCAATGGACTCATGAATTCAACTATAAAATTACACAGTTAGCAAGCGCTACTACAATTAACACAGTTGACAACTTTAACAAGACGTACGATCATCTATAAATGTACTGTGATCCACTTATTCTATATTTACAATGAACTATTTAACATCTATTGATCAAGTTTATGCTTTTTCATCCCTTAAGTACTGACCTAATTCTATTGATCAAGCTACAACAATCAACCAACTATTTCCACTGAAATAACATCTCAGTATAGTGTACATAATATTGAGTCACTTAGACTAGTGGTTAAAGTGAAATTTCATAGATAGAATTTGATCAACGTTAAAGGATAGGATTGGAATAACCTTGGCTAGCATTAAAGATCAATCAATAAGGAATATTTCAATCCAACAGGAGGTTGATTAAAATCTGAACAAATCAGTGATAACATATTTGAACTTTTGTTGTAATGAAACAAGCTTCTTATCTTTTCTTAATAGACCTGACCTTATTCATTTGTTTTAATGATTAAATGATGACCTATTTTCAACAGATTGCATTAAATAACAATTAAAATGTTTCTTCCCAGTTGAAATCACTAATCAATCTAAGATAGACTGCCAACGAAAACCATAAAGCACAGGACGACCGTCTAACCCTAGTGTGTGACCACTCAGCAGTGAGAACGCAGGACTCGAACCCAGAACTTCATATCTCATGCGTGAACGCCTAACCTTTAAACTACTAGGCCGGTATCCAACAGTGTTATTCTCTCATTTCAGTCAATCCATGGTCTTGAGTAACCTTTGATCTATTGTCTGCAGTGGATGTCTGTCTTATACTCGACATCGATTAGATTCCACTGGTCACGGTTTCTCACTAGGACTCTATGCATTACATCTTGAAGCTAATCATTAGTCAGCACATGATTGTTGTCAGTATGGGGAATTTGTGGAGAGTGTAGTATTTTCACAGTCACACATGTTGTTCATATTTCCTTTCAAGTGAATCAAACAGGAAGGCAAAATTTCTTTCAATAAATATTGTTTAATAGTTGACATCATGAGTCAATCGTAACTAGAGCACCATGGAAAACCTGGAAGCACTGGACGACCGTTTCGTCCTATTGTGAAACTCCTCAGTAGTGCGTATGCACGACCCCACCTCGTAAGATTCCAACATAGGATCAATCAATCTCGCACGCAAACTCTTAACCTCTGTACCACTAAGTTAGTCGGTATGCAACTGTGTTAATGTCTGACTTCAACTAATCTACGAAATTGAGCAACACATCCATCATTGTCACCAGTGAGTTATTATCTCACAACAGACCTGGTTGAACTCTACCGATCACTGTTTCTCATTAGAACTTCAGGAACTGTTTAAGTTTTTCAATACTATTGGATTGTTCACTCACTCTCTTACAATAAAGCTATTTTCATTATTTCAAATTTCAACACTTTGTCATCATTTCAACAAGTTAATTCATGTAGTAGATTCTAAGAATATTCGTATTATATTATCGCCAACATCATTTCTTAAATGACTACTGAACGTTTTCTTGGGTAAAATTAAACTATCTCAATCTTAGTTGGATACTAGTTGAACTAGAAATAGAAGTAAACTTAACTCGAACTTTTATCCCCTAAATTTTAAGAATAATAGACAATACTACTGATTAGAATAGTTAAATAGAATACCCTTGTGGGCCAGGGTAATTTTACATTGGTTTTCAGGAGGACCATCCAGACTTTCATGTGACAACCCAAACAGTACAGCTCAATCCCGGTTAACACGAGAGCCAGACACCATCTAGGCTTAAACTTTATAACCCGATGAGTATAGCTCAATCCCGCTTCACAGGAGAATCAGACACCATATGGACTTTGGCGCGACAATCTGAATAGTACAGCTCAATCCTGTGGTGCAACCACACAGGTACCAAGCACCCTGGTGGTGGTAGTGGTGCTGGTGGTGGTTGAAAATACAGTAATACAATACTGCTGTTTGTTTCAAATTGAATAAACTCAAACTGCATTCACTTTCCTAACAATAAACCACTGTGTAAATAGAGATGGATGGTGTCTAACAGTGAAATCCAGAATGCGTGTTTCATCTTCTCTGAAACTTGTCAGCTAGACGTGTCCATTCATCTCTCTTTATAATGTTTTTAATCAAATGACAAGATACAGACATGTCAAAAAGAGTCTGATCAACTGTAGTCGTTAACATCAACGAGAAGATTTAACTAACCAACTACTACTTCATAACACTTTTCATTTTACATTTTCTTTTATTCTAGTCATCTATCAATGCAAAAAGTGAAGAAGGTTCACGTAAAATTCGTTTAACTATTATGCGTTATATGAATTTAGCCTGGGTATTAATGATGAAACGTATTTCAGATCAAATTGCATGTCGTTTTATTAAAAATGATGATATTGGTAGTTTACCAAGTGCATTAGGTCCTGTATTACCTAAACGTAAATCAACAAATCATAAACATTTAATAAGTAGAAATACATGTCAACCATGGTCAATTGATGCAAGTGAAGTAGTACGTACATCACCATCAAAATCAATATTACAACAACAATTATCTCAATCACAATATCCAATACAAACTAAATTAGATAGTCCATTAAATAATATATTTGTTCAACCACAAACACCTAATTCTTCAGATGTTCATACACCATTAGCACCATTAGCTACAGATGAAGAATGTGGTGCATTACCTGATGCATTTGAAGCAGCTGATGTTGTAGAATTAAGAGAAATGTTAAGAGCATTTAATCAAGATCAAAGTAAGTAAATAACTATGATTAATTTAAATTTTGTATTCAATATATTTGAAAGGATATCACAAACTAATGGAATGAATCTATGATCTTTTATGAAAAGGATCTGTTTGGAAATGTTGAAATGACTTTCAAGAAGTATGATGGAACGTCCAGAGACTCTAAAAGATCCGAAGAAATTACACTCAATCTGAGCTTGATACAGTTTTCTAGAAGATCAACTTGACTTGCCTCCTTGTAGATTGACTGAATTATAATGATGTAGCTAAGGCTAATATCTATAAATATCCATGATTTTCTGTATATTCTTGATTCTCACTCAACAATAACTTCTGATTTTATGACTGTAGGATTCTATGCATTCGACTGCCGTTAGTTGTGTATCATATTCTACGTTAATCAAGTTAGCCAATATAACAAGAATGAAGATGGTTGTTATTAGAAAAATTGACAATCGCCTGAGAATTATTGAGGTCTAAGGAGAAATGATCTAGAATAAATTAATGGTACCCCTCAATGAACTATACACGTATTTTAGATCACAAAAGTCAGTCGTTATGATGAGCATCCTACATTTAGACTATATACAGATAATCAAATAATCAATATTTCTAACCCTTCAATGAATTCCATAGTAAAATACTGCACTGGTGTCATTGAAAAATTATTGTTCCATTCCTAACTTGATTGATTCTGTCCATCATAGTTCCTACTAGATCTTTGAGAACCTTATCAAATCAAATCAGTAGTGAATATATGATTATTATAGAATACACACTCTTATAGAGAGATTCAGTGATACATGAATGTTAGATATTCTATATTGTTCATATCAGATGGTATTGTCAGATAAAAAGCCTCAAAAATTCCAAAGATGCACTAAGAAGGACCTGATATGCTTAATATTGATTACCACCAAGTGATCAATCAATTGTAAATACATCTCAGTACTACAGGAAGTCAGAAGCGGCTCGGATAGATCAGTGGTAACATATCTGACTGTGAAGCTGAGTGACACGGGGTCGAATCCGTCAGGAAGCATAACAGCTACACCTTACTGACGAGTGCCATGTAGTATGAAACTTAGATCCAGGGTTTCATGTTGACTACCTCCAACCACCATCTCATCTCAACATAGAGCATGCAATGTTGAATCACCTAGATTGGTAGCCTTATTGCAACTTGGTCGATAGGATTCAATCTGCACTAAGAAGGACCTGACATACATGACATTGATCACCACCTAGTGATCAATCAATTGTAAGAAACAATAGACCTTGGTTTCTTCCTATTTGTCACTCTCCATTAAAGCCTACCTGTATTCCTGAGAAAACTGATGTTTTCCGGTGGGTGATAAAGTTCAAGTCAACTAGAATGGATTAGTTTTCTCATATATTATGAGTAGGCATTGCTAGAAAGTGCTCAATAACGCAAAACCTAGGTCCAAAGTTTTCTGTCGACCACGTTTAGCAATTTAACAACCCAGTAAACTACACAAGATGTCAAGTCATTGATAACAGTGACCGAATTCGATCAACACTAAAGGCACAAGATTTTGGTCGCTATTCAGTAAATAATCAACTGTAAATATGTATATGTTTTTAACAGATAGTTGTTGACATCTTTTGTTATTATGCTACTATTCTTTTCACTATAATCCATCAATAATATTTTCATAATAATCAAATGATCAATCATTTATGAAAAAATAGATAGTGTCTAGCAGGACGAAACTTGCGTCCAGGATTCTACTACTAGCCACTATCCATCTTTACTGACCATGTTTGTGAATTAAGGCTAATATCGAGGCAATCTGCACAGGGTGCACACATGCCAACAATAGACTAATCAATTTCAGTTCTAAATAACAATGAGAAGATACAAGTAAAACAACACTAAGTGAATTTAAACTTCACCCCATTGAAAAAACAGTTGGCTGTAAGGACTAAGTAGCTAAGTGGATAACACGATGGAGTTTAAAGCGAACGGTTCTGGGTTTCAGTCCCAGAGTGAACATCATGTCTGAGATGCAAGTACATCCAGCTGATGAGTCTCAATTAGTACGGAACACACGTTCTACATTCCACTACTAGCCACTATCCATCTTTGCTCAGAAAGTTTGTGACTTGAGGCTATATCGAGGCAATCCGTACAAGATGAATATTCTATACTGTTTTTTTTTATTCCAATTGATCTCTCCTTTTTGTTATTATTATTTTAATAGAAGTAAAAAGTTCATTTGGTGTATTAATTACTGAAAAAGAAATTTCATCATTTGAACGTATAGCAGCTGATTGGTTTCGACGTACAAAAACTAATTATACACCAGAATATTGGGTACCTATACAATGGGCTCAAAGATTAACATTAAAAGCATTACAAAGTGGTTATATTGATGATCCTAAAGTAGCATTTTATACTGTTGAAGTATGTTCTATTATTCTATTCCATTTAAAATCTTTATAGATAACTATTAAATAGTTATAATGAGAGAAGGCATTTTATAATTTGAAAGTTGAATTCATTTAAGGTAGACCGCCATGGTAAAACTCAGAAACATTGGACGGCCGTTTTGTCCTATTGTGGGACTCCTCAATAATACTTTAATAGAACGAAATGGCAGTCCAGTGCTTCTAGGTTTTCCATGATGATCTAGCTTCAGTTGACTCATGAAGTCAACTATTAAATTATTAAATAATTCTAAAATAAGTTGAAATACCAACCTGAAGATTGTTGTGACTTTAAGCCAGGCTTAATATCATGTGACTTATTTGCCAATAGAAATACAACTTATATAATCTTAGTACTGTGCCAAACCAATGACGTATCGACAGGTACGAATAGCCTAGCGTCTTTTTTGGTCCTTTTCCTCCTAGTCCTGCCAGTTAAGTGCAGAGCACCTATCTCAACCTATCACGTATGAATCATATATTTCAAACATACTTGGTTTATATACCCGCCAAACAGACTACTTCACACAATAAAGTAGCAAATAACATTTATACAAGATCAAGCCAAAAAGTGACTGTGAACGTGATAGACACCAGTTAATAAACTGAGTATAATTTAAGAACAGGGTTATTCAAGGAGTATAATCCAGTGAAATAAATTTAGAAAGAGAAGAAAGAAAGGGACATGAAAAATTCAGAAGATTAGAATTTGGAAGAACACAAACAGTGAATGCACCTGCGCCATTGCAAACGATTTTGAGCCATGTCATTCAAGGTCTCTAGCCATCAGTTGCTATCATCTCGCGGATCCCAACCAGGTAGTCTACACCTAACAACATGATTCAGTCCACTTGTCAGTGACCTCATGAATTTGTACCATGTTTTGGTCTGGCCAACTCTAGTTTTCTTCCATCCTACTCTTACACCATAAAACATCGCAGATCGGTGGTTGGGCATACGTAACACGTGTCCCAGCCATCTCAACTGATGAAGTTTCATTACTTCATCAATTGATTTGCCATCCTTACCTAGTACCCGTTTCCTAACAACTTGCTCGTTGGTGTCACGATATGCGAACAATGCTTCGAAGACACCTATGATCGAATACTAGTAACCTACGAATATCCTCTACTATTACCGACCATGTTTTATAGCCATAAAGTAAGACAGAACGAACTGCTGCGCAGTAAACCCGTTATTTGGTCGGTAGACGGATATCTCGCCTACACCATAAATGACGCAAGTTAGCAAAAGCTAGTCAAGCCTTCTGTATCCCTGCTAAGATTTTATCACACACCAGACCACAAGGACTGATGAAACTCTCAAGATAAATGAAACCGTCGACACGCTCAACATTCGAACAGTAATTCATAATCCATAAAACAAATATTAATCTTAGATCATATTCTTAGTAATTAGTGTCAAGTTTCATAGACCTCGACATCTGAAGGAAAACACGGCATACAATGGACAGCTCAGAACCAATTAGACGACTTGGACTTCGCAGATGACCTAGCCCTCCTATCGCATACACACGAACAGATGCAGACAAAGACAGCCAGTGTAGCAGCAGTCTCTGCATACACAAGGGGAAAACCAAGGTCCTCAAATTCAAAATGGAGAACAGCAATCCAATCACTATTGATGGCAAAACTCTGGGAGATGTAAAATCCTTCACATACCTGGGAAGCATCATCGATAAACAAGGAGGTCCAGATGCAGACGTAAAGACGAGGATCGGTAAAGTAAGAGCTACATTCCTACGATTGGAGAACATATGGAACTCAAAACAACTTTCAACCAATATCAAAGTCAAAATCTTCGATACAAACCTAAAAACAGTTCTACTGTACGGAGCTGAAACTAAGAGAACTACTACAACCATCATCAAGAATGTACAAGTATTTATAAATAGCTGTCTACGCATGATACTCAACATCCATTGACCGGATTCCATCAGCAACATCCTACTGTAGGAGAAGACAAATCAGCTCCCAACTGAAGAGGAAATTAAGAAAAGACAATGGAAATGGATAGGATGTACATTGAGGAAATCACCAAACTGCATCATGAGTCAAGCGATAACTTGAAATCCTAAAGGGATGCAAAAAAATAGAAAGGCCAAAGAACACATTACGTGAAGAAATTGAAGCAGATATGAAAAGGATGAATAAGAACTGGAAAGAGCTGGAAAGGATTACCCAGGACAGTGTTGAGCGGCCTCTGCTCCTTCACGAAGAGTAACAGGCGTAAGTAAGTATGTAAGTTCATAGTTAGCATGATCACTTGCCTTTTGTTAGTTATACAATTAGTTACCAATTAATAGTATTCATTCGCAAAATTGATCAATCTTTATCTTCTCACTTATTTTTATAGAATATTGGTAGAGTTAGACAAAGTATGCAGAATTTACAAGTATACAGTAGTATTATGATTCCATTAGTGTATACTCAAGTAAGTGAAACATTGACAAAAGTTTTAATTCAATTTCAAGTTATACAATAATTTGTCAGAATTTACAAATGAAGAAGATCACTGAGTTCGAATTCAACGACTCAACAGTATCATAGTAGAATGTGACTGACAGATAGAACGAGAAAACAAACTTGTTTTATATTATGTGAATTTAAAAGTGAATGTTTCATAAGGCTTGTTAAATTATTCTAAGTATATATACAAACTCAATGGTCTAAAACGTTCAAGCTCCAGATGTGAGACTTGAAAGTCGTGGATTCGATTTCCAACAGGATTACAGATGTACACTATTGAGGAGTCCCATCCAGTGATCCAGGGTTTTCAACAGTTGTCTAAAATAAATCCATGTTACAAACTATAAGACATAATTATTAGGTAATTCTTATAATTTATGGATGAGCCAATCAGAAGCGTCCGAGGGAGTTCAAGGTCACAAAGGCAATTTCAGTACTAGATGCTCATGTACAATCGGTTCACAATAAATGGGACTACTAAGAAGTTCCTTGATTTTTGATTATGTAAATCAAATGACTTGTGGACCTTGTACAGACTACTGTGATGATGCTTTTTCGATGTAATATATGTTGGAGGAAGAAGTCTGCTAGAATAAGAATTTTTTCGCTCGATCCAGATTGAGACTAAGGCAAATTATGATAATTGTTGAGAACTGGCTGCAACATTTGCAGATGTTACTGAAGCTTCGACTGTTCAGTGGTATGAGTATTGTAGAGATATATACTCAATGAGAATGACAAGCTTACACGAGTCGGTTGGAGGAGTTATGAGGACCGTTGAAACAGACGAAACAGTTGTCAGAAAACGAAAATTAAACAAAGGATCTAGTGTTAGATAAGACTGGGTAAGTAGCACTTCCATAAACATACCTCACAGGTCCTTGGAATATACGACAGGTCAAGTAAACGGTAATATATGCAGCCACGTACTACAATATAAACGGATGACTGGAGAGCGTAAAGATGCCTACATACTCTTGGTTATGGGCATCATGTCGTTGTCCACAAGTAGCATTTTGTAAACCCAGCAACCGTAGTGCACAAAAGCAATATTGAAGCTACAAGGTCTAGGCTGAAAGAGGTTTTGCGACTTTATTATATCTGCAGAGGTCGACTACTATAGAACCCTATGGATCTGTTCCTCTATCATATGCATTATGATTCCAGAACCGCTGAACCTCTTTCTAACCTTATAAAGTGTTTAAATCATGCAAAAGAAGTGTATTCACTCTAATTCTTTGGTTCTGTATAATACATTTTTACTCTAAACTACCAGTTTCCTGATTAACCACTTAAGATTCGTTCAAAGGTCATTCATAAATTCTAGTCTCGCCGTACTATAAAGAATATTGGCAATTATCTATCATAGTTAGTCTACGTTTGTATAGGACGCTATTAAGCAGAGATGGTCTATGAAAACACTTTTTGTACTATTCGTAACTGGTCAGCTGGATGTAACCGCGTCACATTCATTCCGGGACTTCAACCTAACACCGTTCGTTTCAAATGTTATTACATGATCCACAGAACTTATACTTTGAGCAATAGGATAATTCTTGGTTGTTCAAAACTTCCCATTTGTTTGTGATCAATCACTGTTTATGTTTTCAATAATGTTAATAGGAAAAGTCATAAATTAACTTTCTAATGAGTACTTTGACTAGATTTCTTGAATCATAAAACATCATGAATGAATTGATTTTCCATCTCGAAAATGTCCCAGTCATTCTACTCAATAATCAGTCTAATTTGAATCCATTTTACAAAAATACAGTATATAAAAGCTTAACGAATCAATAAACTATCATTCTACTTCCAATTGACAAACACTAATACATTTTCGAATTATTCACCAAGTATATTTGTAAGTTTTTGATTGAGATCATAAACCGATTGATGTTAGACCATCATTGAAAACCTGGAAGTATTGGATGGCCGTTTCATCCCAGTACGAAACTCCTCATCAGTCCGTATCTACAATTCTGCCCACGTGGGATTTAAATCCAGAGCCTTTGGTTTCAAACACGACTTCTTAATCTCTAGACCACTAAGCTGGTCGGTATCCAATGGTGTTAATGTCTAACTTCAACCAATCCATGATATTACGCAATCATCTTCTCTACCCGCCCGACCGTTGTTGCTACCTTGATGTGGTGGTCGAGCTTTCTTATCGTGATGAACCAATCGAGCTATACTGGCTGGAACAACCATCCCTCAAGGTCTTATCATACCATACAGGTCGGTTGAAGAGAGGTAAGACTAAAAGCAACAAACCCAAAATCCGAAAGCGAAGTTGTACTGCTGACTGTACGGAGGTGTGACAGCAGTAAGGTGTTTCCTTTAGACAACCAGCATGACAATGGTGCTGCCTTCCCATAGGGAGGGGTGGGGTTAGAAAAGGTCGATCATAAAAATGCACACTTCGCCTTATCCCACAGAAATCCGTCTCCAGCAGTAAGGTCTCAACAAGTACGGAGCTAACACAAAAATTACCCATAAAAAGGTCGTGTGTGACCAACCTCAAGCAGTTGTCCCTTGGCCACCGTGGTCACGCTCTCCGGTCACTAAAACCACCTCTAATCCGATTTCCTTTTCAGGCACCTTCAAAAGAACCCTTCCATGGTGTGGAAGGGTCTGCCCAACATCAGGCCTGCTTACACTACGGCAACACTGTATTCATAATCAGTCTCAACTTCTCTACCCGACATGATTCGTATGTTTCATTCATCAAACTTTATACTGTCAAATCATTGATCAATTTATGTTGTACACCTTCAACTAGTTCCTATTATCATTCATAAATGATTGTTTAATTCATTTATATATGATTATGTAATACATTGATGATTATTTACTTTATAGGTTGTAATTATAGCAGTTTATAGTTATTTTATGTGTCAAATATTTGCTTGTCAATTTGTTGAACATCGTAATCAAAATGGTCAACATAATGTGGATTTATATGTCCCAATTTTTAGTATATTCTCTTTCTTATTCCTTATGGGTTGGTTAAAGGTAAGAATGATTGATTTTTTTAGGGAAAAATTTATATGTAACCTTTAATTTAATAAATGGTTTATCCGACTATGATTAGAATACAATGGGGTTTGTGGAGATTGTAGTATATTCAAGGTTGAATTCATTGCTGAAGAGTCCAATACTAGGACGAAATTGCCGTTCAGTGCTTTCAGATTTTCAATGGTAGTCTAGTTTAAATCGACTCATGAATTCAACTATTAAAATTATTACAATTTACACAAACCTCTATTCTAATAATAATCATATGGTCACTTGGGACTAGCTTCATGATGGATTTCTTTGAGTTCTAGTAAGAAATCATCACTAGTAGAGTAAATCTGTGTCTGTTGTGAGTCAGTTACTTACTGAAAACAACAAAAAATGATCGCGAAACATCGTAGCTGAATTGAAATCAAATATTAACATCGTTGGTTTCTGATCCAGAGTTTTCATGCGAGACCGAATGTCCTGGGTTCGAGTCCCTTTGATATGGAAACGTGAATGATCACTGCTGAGAAGTCCTATACTAGAACGAAACGGCTATCAACTTCTTCTAGATTTTCAATCGTGATCTAGCTTAGATTAATTCATGAATTCAACTATTAGCATAAAATGAACAATTGAAAGGCAATCAGATACCACCTTCACATTCCATTGAATGAAAATAAAGTTAAAGACATGATGAAAAAAATGGTATTTTATTTCGGTTCAATTTTTTTAAGGTTAAATCCATTAGGAACGTTTGAAGTGAACCAGTGAAGTGTAGGCTAACTAGTAAACTTCTGTTCTATCAAATTACAATTTCTTTAAGGATGATTTGTCGTTGAAGTATGTGCCTTATTTATAACGTAGAATACGTTCAATGATTCAAAATAGTGTGAGTGAGCTTCTGAATTCTTGTTAACAAACACAAAAACTTCAGTTTCTCATTTCACTCCATTAAAAACCATGTTGATACTATGATATGGCGAGTAATACCTTAGTCAATTCAAATGCTGACGATATACGAAATTGATATATATTTTCTAATTGTATGTGACATGGATTCATATCTTAACAAGGATTATAGATGCTCACTTGTATAATATGATCTCAAATGGAATGAAATGAGGATCTTTCATTTCACTACTAATCATCATCCATTTCTACTTAAGCATTCTTTTGACTTAGTGTCAACTTTTATACAAACCTTAGAGGATGCATATGTGCCGAGAGAAACTGATCGATTTCAGTCGTAAACGTCACGACGGTGAGTATGCATTGCTGAATAGTCTCACGACAGAACAAGACAGTTTTCCAGTACTCCCAGGTTTTCAATGGTGGTCTAACATCAATCAGTTCATGATCTCAATCAGAAATATAAGATTAACTATTTACAACTGCTACTAGTCTATTAATTATCGATTACGTATTAATAATTACTACTAATATTAGTGATAGCAAAATTCAGGCGGGTTAGAATCATACTAGGAAAAGGAATTGTGCAAGTCACTTGTGATTATGCAAACCAAGCCTGTTGTCCACAAGTTTCTGTCTCGTTATTCATCTGACCTAACTTTACACCAATGGATAGGATGTACATTGAGGAAATCACCAAACTGTATCACGAGTCAAGCGATAACTTGAAATCCTGAAGGGATGCAAAAAAATAGAAAGGCCAAAGAACACATTACGTCGGGCAACAGAATCAGGTATGAAAAGGATAAATAACAACTGGAAAGAGCTGGAAAGGATTGGCCAGAACAGTGTTGGATTGAGAGTGCTAGTGTGCGGCCTACACTCCTCCACGAGGAGCAACAGGCGTAAATAAGTAAATAATATATATATATACAGTTAGGTGAAGTACTTCCAAATCAACCATCGACTGAAGAATTCTACACGAAGCTCCACTGAATATATATATATATAGTCTTTCTTAAAGTTCTTGAATGTTGGTTTTTAAGGATTTCTGAGGATTTCTTTTTTCTACATTTTTCAGGTAGCTTTATGTGTTATGAATCCATTCGGTGATGATGATGAAGATTTTCAAACATCAAAAATTTTAGATTATAATTTAGATGTCAGTTATCGATCTGTATTTATGGATCCTGATGCATTTCCAGAAAATCTATCAGCTCCATCTGGAAATAAACGATCTGATGATAATGAATCAGATGATTTACAAAAATTTTTAGATCAAGTTGATCATGAAATTGAAGAAGTTAGAAATAAAGGATTATTAAATGAGTAAGTAAAATATCCATAGTTGATAATGTGTTTATGATTGAAATGCCACCTCTTGAGTTATATTTCATGACCAGAGGTTATTTGATGAAATTAGGGGCGGCCAAACCAAAACATGGTACAAATCTATGAAGTCATTGACAAGTGGACTGAGACATGTTGGTAGGTGTAGACTACCTGGTTGAGATCCGCGAGATGAAAGAAACCGATGGTTAGAGATCTTGAATGATATGGTTCAAAATCATTTGCAATGGTGTGAGCAGGTGCATTCACTCTTTGTGTTCTCGCAAATTCTAATCTTCTAAATTCTTCATATCTCTATTTTCTCTTTCTAACATCTTCAAACCCTAATCTTTCCGATCACTGCTTATACTTTTACTACCTCTACCATTATGGGATTTGAATGAACAATTGTATCTGTGTGCTAATATGGTATGGCAACTCGAACTGATGTATGTACGTACGAAGTTCTACGTTGTTACTGGCTGATTGAGATCATGAATGGATCAATGTTAGACCATTATTAAAAACCTGAAAGCATTGAATGGCCATTTCGTCCTAGTATGGGACTCTTCAATAGTGCGCATTCACGATTCTGCTTACGGAATTTGAACCCAGAACCTATCGGTCTCGCGCGCGAAGGCTTAACCTCTGACCGGCATCCAGTGGTGTTAATGTCTAACTTCAATCAATCCATGAAATTTCGCCACTGTCTACCATTGTCTTTATTAAGTTACTATCTCACAACAGACCTAGTTGAACTCCACTGGTTACTGCTTTTCACTAGAACTCCAAGAAATAACTCTCGAAGTCAGTCAGTAGTAAGCATATGCTGTCTGTTGTAAGGTAGTAACTCACTGAAAACAGTGGTGGCTGCGTCGCCCAATTTCGTGAATTAGATGAACTTAGACATTAACACAATCGGATGCCAGCCACCTCAGTGGTCTAGAGGTTAAGTGTTCTCGCGCGAGACCGAAAGTCTTAGGTTCAAATCTCGCGAGGGGGGATCATGGTTATAAACTGTTGAGGAATTCCATGCTAGAACGAAACAACTGTCCAGTTCTTCTAGATATTCCAGGATGGTTTAGTTTCGATTGATTCATACTTTGAAAAAAAAAGCAACTCATCTATGCCGTTAGTGATGAATAAAGTTTTAAAAAAAAAAACAAATTTCATTTCAGTGTATCTAACTTGGAAATGCATCCATCATTTTGTGAACGTGCAAGAAATTTATGTTGCTGTGAGAAAAAGAAACCACCACCACCTGGTAAGTTATAAATCTTTTTTGTTGCTTTTTTTTCTCTCTTTCTTAAAAATTCTTTTCATACTACTTATCATTCATTTTACAATTTAAGTAGTATATACTTAAAAATATAAATTCAATAAAAATTTAAATTAGCGCTTATTCAAACTGTACAATTATAATTCCATCATCTTTCTATTACATAAGATGAAATATTAAATTCAGTAGTATCAACGGGATAATTCAAATAATGAATCTGGACTTAGTAACTAAGTGGATTATGCGATTATGTCTAAGGCAGACGATAGTGGATTGGAGTCTCAGAATGAACATCAATTCTAAGATGTAAGTACATCCGTTTGACGAATTTCAAAACAGGATGGAACGAGCATACTGCATTCTACTGCTAGCCATCATCATATCTACTTATTGTGCAATATAAACATTCTTGTAAAATGAACCAGTGTGTTATAAATTGGAATTGGTGGGTTTTATGTTGATTATGTCTTAAGTACCAAAAAAATGTGTTATCAGTCAAGTTAAAATTGTCATACGAGTAGGGCAGCATTATTGATGGACATGGTGAATCTGATGCAGATATCAAGACAGTTCTACTATATGGAGCGGAAACTAAAGTCATCATTCAGAAGATACAAGTGTTTATTAGCAGTTGTCTACACAAAATACTTCGGATTCCTTGGCCAGACACTATCAGCAACAACCAACTATAGGAGGGAACAAACCAGATTCCAGTGGAGGAATAAATCAGGAAGGAGCGTTGGAAGTGGATAGGATACACATTGAGGAAAGCACCCAACTGCGTCACAAAGCAATCCCTAACATGGAATCCTTAAAGCCTAAGGAAAAGAGGAAGACTAAAGAACACATTACGTCGAGAAATGAAGACAGACGTGAGAAAAATGAACAAAAGGCGTAAGTAAGTAAGTATAAGTCGATGGGTTCCGGTTAATCGGTTAGATAGTCTGTGTAAATGTTCAGTACAAAACCCAAATTTGATATTGATTTTAATTAGTGAAAATACTTCATTTGTAAAACTTGAAACATTTGTCTCAGATTTCATTGCATTTCCGTTATAATTGATTTCTGTATCTGTCCTTTTTTCTTCAATCTTCTCAAATTTATGATGCTAGATATTCCATTCTTGACTACAGTTATATACTACCTATATTGACAGGTTTGACACACACCACAATATATGCTACTTATATTTTTTGACATCAGTTGCATTCGTATATGTGAGCGGCCAAAAAAAGTGGTGTTGTATATACAAATATATATTGTGTCGAAGTGATCAAAAATCTTCAAATTTATCAAGTAATTGTCCGTAAATGGAATTTCAATTTATTCAACGTTTCCGATCACTGTCAGTTGACATAGTAACTCACTGAAGACAATGGTGGATGTGTCGCTAAATTTCGTGGATTGGTTGAAGTTAGACATTAACTCCTGCTCACCCTACTCGGAGCACCCAATTACACAGAATCCTATTTATCCAGTTCCATTTCATTTCCATTGACCGTCAATTCAAGATGTTTGATTATCTTTGAAAATTTTGTACGACTCATCTGTTTTACTACGGATTACTACATGCTGAATAAATTAACCATCAATAAGATTGTACAGCTTCACAAATCGATATCGTCAAGAAGAAAATTTTCTTCACTGAATGATCTTCACTTAATTTATTTGACGAATGGACTAAGTATAAATATCCGTAAATCAATTATGAACATAACAGACATCAATATTTTCTGTTCAATTGAATAACCAAGTGTGGTTGGGTAAAAACAGCCAAATTTAAAATATTTAGTATAGGGAAATTTGCAGACCTAAAAGCGAGGACTGACAAAGCAAGATCCGCATTCCTACAATTGAAGAACATATGAAACTGAAGATAATTGTCAACCAATGAATTACTAATGATGGGTTGTGAAATGAAAGATTTCATGGTTGTAGAACTGTTTGCGTCTTGATTGTTTCGAACACTCACTTTGGGGAATAATTCAATTATTTCTTTATCAGATTCTAGCGAAAACTGAGTAAACAAATGTTGGTGATATTTCGATGTACAGTAAACTACATCCATAGTTTTGTGCTTCACTTCCTATCACTTCCTATTTGTATCCGATTATCAACAGGTCAACACAGATCATTTCTGTATTTTATCAGAGTGATATTATGAAACGTTCTTACAGTCATCATTAATCCATTGTTCCTTGTGTAAAATCAATTGTATCACGAGTCAAGCACTAACTTGGAATCATGAAGGGATGCAAAAAAATAGAAAGGTCAAAGAGAACATTACGTGGGGAAATTGAAGTAGATATGAATAGAATGAATAACAACTGGAAGGAGCTGGGAAGGATTTCCCAGGACAGTGTTGGATGGAGAGTTCTGGAGTCTTTACCTGAACACTCTCCGTCTTTTCATAAACATGTCGATGATTCTGAGACAATTATCCAGTTTTTAGCTGAGGTTCCATAGTTGACCACCTTCATATTTGCTTTCCAAACACATCTGATATTGACCATGTTTCTGAGAAATTAAGAGCCCCTGCACTTACTATATCCACCACCGCCGTGGACGCCGCTATTTTATTTCGCATACTGCGGGCCTTTGTGTAGCACACCTTACCTTAGCTGTCATAGTCATGTTGGAATCTGTAAATATTCTTATTTGCCGTCATCCTCTGTTGATAAATGTTTGAAAACCCTTACGTTCGACGTCTCGCCCACCCTTTAGATGTCACCCGTCCATTTCTACTTATTCCGACCGTCTTTCAAAATGGTCAACCAGGCTGAAAAACTCACGGACGTATAATTAGTACCATTCGTTTGCATGAGTTTCCCAGAATCAGGCTTCTTTCTTTCGCCAAAGCAAAGCTAACCTTTATGCAATGAATAGATTTACGGTAAACTTTTTGGTTATTCTGTAAAGCTTACAGTTACCTTCTAAGTTTTACTACAAGGCAACTCTAAATATACCATTTGCCTAATGAGGAATTACGGTTGCTGAGGTCATGCTGAAATACAGACTCTGGTTTCTTTTCGGAAAATTTTCTTTTAAATTATGAAAAATAACTGACCTGTCAGAGATCTTTGTCTTACCGCAATTTGGTATTTTAATTCATGAAATCTTCTCCTCCCTGCAGTTCGATTTGGCGTCAAGAACACGCTGAGGTGTCTTATACTATGTTCGCTTTCGTTTTCGCCTGATGTGACTGAGAGCCAACCACTGACCTTATTGTGTCTCTTGATCATATTATTTGCTCGGCCCAGGATTTGTTCCGTCACAGTCTGTTTTGCGTTGATTCATTTTAGCAATTATGGTTACAAACGTAGATTACGGTGAGTATCAACCGATATATAAACATATATATATTTATCATTTAAATTTATTTATTCAATGCATAAAATAAGGTGAACAGAAACTCATTATATGTGATTCCACTTTTTGCAGTTGTTACATCGCATTCCATCATCCACAGGGAAATAATATGCAGCTTTGTTACGATGATGTTTTGCATGCGCCGTAAATTTCTCTCGTGATCTCACAAAACGGACAAATAATACTGCTATCCAGAATAAGTATTTTTCAAAGCTTCATACGTGAAGGACAGTAAAACCAAACAAAGTAGAGTTTTGTTTATTACTGTAATCCACAGCAACGAATATCCGAAAAGATATAAACTACTTTGGATACAAACACCACTAACAGATTTAGTCAACTGGAATAAAAATATTAGTGACCTGTCTACGTATCTGCACACAATAGTAAGAATAATGGATTACTTTAAAAATTAAGCGCAACTCTTGCGGATTGCAATAACTGTAAAACATTCAATTAAGGCACAAACGGTTTCCTTGACACCTGGTGAAACGATCATTAATAAAAATGTATTCATGAGAAACAGATCACTGTATGGTTTAAATAGAATGCTCGTTTGTCATAATTCCATGTCGTGAGCAGCTGATGAGGAACCACGAAATAAAATGAATTCATGTTATTCTGCTACATTATTTGTAATTTCTTCAGTAGAATGTGCAAACTAAAAGAGTTATATGAAAGACATGAATATTGTTAAAAGGACATATCTAGTTGAAATTGTCCCAGCACGTCATTTTGATCATAAAATAAACAACACCCAGTTATTAATAGATTGAATAATTGGAACGCGTGATTGACAATATAACATAAATACTCAATTGCTAGACAATCATGACAAACATAACTGTGCTTTGATCAATAAATATGAACATTCCTGTCTCACAAGAGATCAGTTTTGGTCCGAGTAAATAAGCTGGTAATTCACATAGAGAGAAGTTTGAAGAAATGAGTTTGGAACGCACGAAAGTTATTGGCTTCTTAAAGATCGGACGTCAAATTCATTGACTCGTACCAACCGACAGACTAAAAACACCAAACATGGTCTAACTCAAGATATCGTCTCAGAAAACATCAACTGAAAGTAAAAGCTTCAATTGTACAGACAGACATACCTGAAATTATATTTAAATATTCATTTACCAATGCTTCCATACGTAGAAATTTATTTCAATTCTATTGCAGAGTAACGACGAATGAATCATTAGAAAGCGACATTACTCATTTTAAAAAGAATTCATATCACGCTTACTACACAATAATGAATATCATGTAACTTGATTAGCTAAATACAATATGGTGACGAACAATACGAAAGTTTATTCATTGATATTTCTACAATACAATAGATAAAATTGAATTAGATATGATGATTAAATGTAATATTCAAACAGATAATCCTCAAGTTACACTACTCAGTGTAAATAGTTTTAGGAAGACGAAAAATGTACAGGTTGTGTTCAACTCAAACGAATACGGTTCATCGAGTATATTACGTTTTTGTTGAACAACGTTTTCTTCTAAATCACTTCAACCATATCTTCTGCCCGTCAAGAACATTATGGTCTCGAGTAAAATATAGATATACAAGATGAGTGTCCACTTGATCAAAATATAGAAGACGAATTACAACAAGTAACACAACGAAAAATTAGTGATTACTAATGTGCAACCAACATCTCTACATCTCTCAGTAGCTTCAACTAGCAATAGAACGGATGAAGGTGTTTTAGTGAAGAAACGTTTCTTATTGACTACATGATATCGTGAGGCTGTACAATCATATTAGTAGGTGATTTATTAAGCATGTAGTAGTATGTGGCAAATAAGAGGTGCTTTACAAAATTATCAGACTTAAAAGCAGCATTTGACTCTGTAGACCGAGAGGTTCTGTGACAGTGTCTGTCATTGAAAGGTGTACCTCAGAAGAATCAAAAAAGCCGTGAAACTACTTGAAGATAAGAGCACATGCAAAGTTATGGATATAAATCCTCTCATGTATTTAGATAACCGAATCTCAAAAAGGCTCTCCATTATATCCATTTTTGTTCAACTTCATCAAAGACCTACTTCTGAAAATAACGTTTTCGTCGTCTGGATTTTCAGGAATTGATCTCCCACCAGGAGGTCTACATATTGACCTCGAATATGCAGATGAAATAGTCCTGTTTGGTGAAGACGCTGATAAAATCCAGTCTTTTGGTAGCACTGAGCAACAATGCCAAAATGTTTGAGATGCGCTTCTCTCCCTCTAAATGCACATTGTATCCATCCAACCAATTCATTATATCCCCTACACAAGTCCTGAACCAAATTAAGGAATAAAGTAGTCGAACCCCTCGATATATTCACTTATCTTGTAAGTCTGATCACCCCAAATGGGTTGATGTCTGACGAAATCTCTGTACGGACTCAAAAAGCTCGTCAATGACACAAATCTCACTAAGTACACAAAACCTGTGGCAAAGGCCAGATATCCGTCTATCGTTTAAAGGACGAGTGCACTGCTTGGCAGTTTTTTTTGTTCTACTTCACGGCTGCGAAATGTGGCGGTTAAGAGTAGAAGATACTCGTAACCCACTAGTATTTGACCACAGATGTCTTGGAAATATTGCTCGTATCTGCTGCGATCACCGAGTAAGTAATAGTGAGATTAGACGCAGGGTACTAGGAAATGATAGTAAATCAGTTGATGAGGTTGTGAATCTTTATTGACTGAGATGGTTGGGTCACGTTTTTGTGTGCCTGAACACCGATCACCACGACGTGCAATGCTGACCAGTGTTGAGGATGGTTGGTAGAAAGTTAGGGGTGGTCAAACCAAAATGTGGCATCAGTGCCTGAATTCACTAACTTCTAGTCTGAGCCATGTTGGTAGATGCAGACTACTTGGTTGGGGTCCGCGTGACAATCGTAACCAATGGTTGAATTAACTACTATGATTTCGATGTTCATCCTATTGCGCTAATGAGATATGGCAACATAGACCTATGTGTATATATGCCTTGTCCTACATTGTAGCTTACTGACTAACTTCACTTACATATATACAAGAGAACAAAGAATCTATTGTATTCTTCAAATATTATCTTTCTTAATTTGTTTTAATTTATAAGACGGAATCAAAGTATACTTTCCATACATAAAAGGTATATCAGAAACCGCAACGAAACTTCTGAAAACCTTCGGAATAGGTGTTGTACTCCAACCGACAAAATTACTACTATCAATACTATGCAAACCAAAGGATGAAATGACAAAAGTATATATTCACGTCTTTTACATCCAACATATTTATTTCCATACTGAGAAAATATTACTTATTAAGAAAGGATCCAAAATATTTTGTTATATCATCGTCAACATGAACATCAATTAGCAGTCAAACGCCATGACATTTCCTGACTTATATCAATACACGTAGAAAACTGCGGACACTTATGTGACTGGAAAAGTGTGGAAATCTTGGACAGAGGAAATTGCAAAACACCAGAGAATTTTCAGAAGTCTGGCACTCAGATCAATCATCAATCAACAAGCACATTGAAATCGATCCAATTTATCAACTAATTGGGAAAGCTATGCGCAAATATAGGAACAAAAATCAAACCAATGTGAGATATAACAAAAACGTCGAAGTAAACAATGACAAATTCCAGGTCAATACGAACCGATCAACGTCGAGGTGTAAGAAGTAGCTGTGAACCACATGTGGAGAAATTCAAACACTTCACTTCTGTCTGAAGTTTTGTGTTGATGATGTCGTTCAGAAGAACGATGAAAGATCCACGACCAAACCATCCAGCTCGGAGAACAATGTAAGATCCAAACTATGGTTTGGACTGCCGGACAGCTGTTTGGATAAGTTAGATACGCGCCCTCGCCCTTTTGAAACCAAAACAAAGTAATTGGGTAAGATGACAGTTCTATAATTTATCATAAATTTAAGTGTACATTATTACCTAAACAAATATAACCACTCAGCTATCCAACCAATAATTGTTCAATTGATCAAATCTAAACTACAATAAATAAGAAAGTTGATAAAGGATGCAAGAAAATTACCAATCACCACAAATAAATGTTACTCTATCCTGTCTGGATAGATCACGTACAGATTCGTTCAAAAGGTAATAATTGGTCGCTCTATAACACAGAGTGTTTTCAATTCTGGAAGAGTGCTTCAATTCATAACCAAAATGCACAATTCAAGTCAACACAGGTTAAGCAATCAAAAGCAGGAACAAACCAAAATGGCTGCCGCCCAGACTTAGTATAAAGTAAAACAACATAAGTGCAGTTCGTGAAGAAGCATGGGGAATTAGTGAAGGTGTAGTAAAAACAAAAACTATAATAAAATACAAATATTAACAATTCAAATGTAGACAAAAAGTTAACAATGTACAACTAAGAGGATCAATAGGAACAAAGTGCAAGTATATACATGGAGCGATTTTCACAAACACACAAAGCATTCAAAATGGATCTTACAAACAATACTCCATAGAAAACGATTGTATCGTTGTCAGTCGAGAAATGAAAATGATGTTTCTTATAAGATTGTACATTTAGTCGAAAATATCAGAAAACGTTCAAGTCTGTCAAGTAATAATCTATAAACGGAAGGGTGATATTTCAATTTATTTAAAGTTTCCGATTACTGTCAGTGGACATGAGTTGGAAAACATCCTCCAGAAGTGTTTGTTGTATAATATTCTGCTCCTCGTCAATTGTGTCTTCAGTAAATATAACTCTGGCTCATGTTGACAGGGAATGAATTAAATTCTGTGTGTCATCACCAACTTTGTTTGTGAATACGAGTGAGTCTGTGAAATGTAGCATATGTAACATCAAGGAGTGGAGTGATAATTTGAGTGTGGATATTTGTGTCTGCGTGTGTGTCAGTGGTATATGCGTGACAAATGAACAGGTTACATGAAGTTGTTTCAGTTTCTCAGTGCTGCTTCGATCAATCCATTCAAATATTTGGAACGACATTTACAGATTTGTGAAATCAGCTAACGAAGACAAGGA